TTGTGTCACTTCAGTCAGGTGGCTGTTGGTTTGATGTCCAGACTCAGAACAGAAGCTGGCTGATACTACTCCCCACCATTGCTTCACGCGGTCCGGCTGTAGGTGGTCGAGTATCTGTTGGCTGACTTCTACTCTGTGCTTGCACTGTTTCCCTAGCCACAGGATGGGGACCAGCACACCCAGCCGCTGCAACAATTGCTCGTTGGTTTCATGGCTGACATGTGCTGGGCTTCGTGCTACAATCCTTAATTGCTTCATGACACTGGAACGCAGCTGTTGCATCTGGGGGTCCAGGCCAACCGCCGTGAGACCGTACCGCACGACCGCCCAGACACAGGCTTGCCAAAGCAACACTCGTTTGCGCAGGGGTATGATCTGATGTTTGAGGAGACTTTGTAGTCGGTTGAACGATACCCAAGCTAGCGAAACACGATGCTTGACCGTGGCTCTTTCGTAGTGTTGGTAACTAATCTTGACCCCCAAGTACTCATGCTCCCTGCGCAAAGGGAGCGTGAGCTCGCCTCCGGCCTGAAAAAGACGCAGGACCCTGTTTCCCTTGACGCGCTTGGTGTACTGCTTGAGGAGGGCTATGGCAAGAAGTGCTACAGTTTTATCAAGGGAAACTTCCATGCCAAAGCTCTGCAGGCAGGCAAGCAACTTGGGTATGGCTGCACATGCCTGTTTGAACTCCTGTGCCTTAGAGAACTCCCACATCAGGTGGAAATCATTTGCGTAGCTAGTTTGGGACTGAAGTGCGTCAGACTGTCGTGAAGGAGAAGGGCAGGGTAAAGGCTATCCAAAGCAAAGGGGACAAGCCACATCCTTGCCGTACGCCCCATCCCATGCCTAGCTCCTCTTGTCTGGCATGCCTACTGATGCATATCCTAGCATTGTCATGGATGTATAAAATAAGCTCGGTGAGAGACGCGGGGGCCTGTACACGTTCCAAAGCACGCTGCAGAACATGCCGTGGTAGGCGGTCGTATGCTTTGGTGAGGTCAATCGAAACTTGCATACCTCCTATGAGGGTCGAGGCATCCATACCGGATTGTGGCCTGAAAGCTGATCGATGCCTACCCTTTGGCGAGTTCCTGATCCTAAGACAATGAGATAGGACGCGATCTAGGGCGTCCGATGTCTGACGGCCCTGAGCATACGCAAATTGAGGATAGTGCTCATAGCTTGTTGCCCTAGCGGCTGCAACCTTTGAGCGGCTATACGTGCAAGCAATCTGGCTTCGGCCGCTAGTAGGTTTATGGGGCGCAAATTGGCAGGGCAGTTGAATGCCTTATGCATAAATGGGGTTTCGCAAGTAGAGCGAGGTAAGAGTCATGCCAATGTTGTGGGAAACGCAACTCCCCTGGCTGGAGGGCTGCATTGAAGTCATGTAGAAGTTCGGCCTCGACACTCTGCGCTGCCAATTTCCACAGGTGGGCTGGAACTTGTCCCGGTGGGAGGGCATTGTGGGCAGGCATGCTACGGAGGGCTGAGGCAATCTCCCGCGCTTCCACTTGCAGCGCATCTTGTAAGAAATGGGGCCCGGGTACGTGCGTGCTAGATTGGTACAGCTCGGAGAAAAAGGTGCGAAGGCTGTCCATCTCTTCCTCAATGGTCATTAGTTGTCCATCTGCTCTACGAAAATGTATCGAGCGTTTAGGGGCTTTGGGTCTCAGGTGTTTCGTTAGCTGGTGCAAGGTACTCATGCCTCGCCTGTCAGCTTCCTGCGTCACCGCTATTAGCTGATCCACCTTGGCTGTTTTGCGTTCTTTAACCTTCTTGCGCAACATCCTATCCTGCTTCTGGGAAGAGATTGCAGCTCGCCAAAGGTCAATCAGAAGTCGTAGGCTCCGAACGGAGCGAGGCAGCAGATTTCTGACTCGGGCTGAGGGAGAATGAGCAACATACCACACAACTGGAGCGTTGTAATCCCGGGTATATTGTTTGACAGTTTCGCAGCCGTCTTTTGGCTTGCCAGAAAGCCCGGAGCGAAATCTCCTGCTGAGGGGGTGCAAAGGGCTTGCTGTGCCCAAGATGTTTGGTGCAGCGCTGCCAGGCTTCTGCCAGGCATGCATCAATGGTGCGGCCCTGCCTTTGTTGCAGACTCCTTTCCGCTTCATCCTGGTATCGTGTGGACAAGTTTGGATTCTGTGATAGGATCTCCTTGACCTTATGTGCATTGAGGGCAGGGGCTGACCTGGGTTTGGGTTTGCTCGGGAAAGGCAATCATAGTTGCAATGGATTTATTGATCATGATCATAACCCCTCCATGCCTAGACCCCATACCAGAGTAAATGTGAATCCATCGTTCACTGCAGTATTCAGCACTCTGTGGCCAATGGCACTCCTGAAGAAAGACTAGATGCACTGACTTGAGGTGATCGGCGTTGGTCCATTGCATAAACTCTGCGTAGCGTTGTGCATGCAGGCCACCGCAGTTCCAGGTTACAGCCTGGAGATACTCCGCATGTAAAGCAGTTCTCGGGGGTTTAGTGGGGAAGCTAGTGCCTACATATTGCAGGGCAAGGCTGTTAGCGTCATGCCTTCTTCCTCTATACATGGTGGACCCATCTCTAAGTACCCGAATTTGTGCTCTCTTGGAGGCTCGTTTCCTGGCTGCAGTGAGGCGAACGGCTTGCTGGCCGTGTGCAGACAGTCTGGATAGGCCCGGAGAGTTATGGGGGTTAAGGTGGGGTGCGGCACAGGCAGCTAGAGGAAGGGTCACTATAATCCCGATAAAGACCAGGCTAGGCGGGAACCGACCTAATGTTGCTTGGGCATGGTGGGACTTGCATCCCCGCCTATCATGGTGGCCCGTGCCCTGTCCCGATTCGGGAGGCTGCGCTCACTACCCTGGCACGCTGCACGGGCCCGGCCGCACTGTGTCGCCTGCGGTACAGGCCAGTGGCGCAACGTCTGGTGAACCAGCAGCTGCAAACACACGTTCTAGGCTGCCGGTCAGTCACATACAGCATTGCGGATAGAGACAACAAGACGCCAAGTGCCTGTGCCGTGGTTCGTGAGTGCCGCGGTGGGCGCTCAGTGCGTCGCCTCGCTGGCTGACACTGAGCTTGCTGGTCATCCGTGTCAGTGTCCCTTTGGGAACACAAACATGCACGACGGTGGCAAAGACTGTGAATACCGGTATGATATGTCATGTAATGTGTACATATGTGGCGAGCGCGAGCAATGATGGGACCGCATGCTTGGCAAGGAATCCGAAAAACTGAAGGGTCGTGTAGCTTCGCCTGCAATGTATAGAGCAAAGGCAAAGTTGTATAGGCTATAGGGAGACTACGACCAACGTTACTCGCTGGTGCATCATGTTGACATAGCTGAAGAGTGCCGGGACGGTCCGGCCTCATGGATGTTCTCCTGCCTTCCCCCAGGTGCAGCTGAGGACGAGGAGCTGGGATGAGCTGCCCGCGCATCCGGTGTCTCAGGCGCAGGTAGCTGCTCCTCAGAAGGTGGCAGGGCCAGATATCGCGTCCTCTCGTAGTCCTGGAACCATTCCTGGAAGCGCAGTTGCGAGTCCGGCGGCAGCATGGGGAAAAGCGCCGTGCGGAGGTCGATGTCGCCATGTTGACCATGACCTCCGCCATCTCTTGCACAACCGCTGCATCCAGGTTGGGGCGCAGGTCCCGACAGCTCCGGCAACAGCCGCTGGCGCAACGTATGAAGCCCCGGGCAGAATTGGCTGCCAGTGTTGAGGATCCAGGCCCATCCAGGCCCTGTCGTTGCGGCTGGGCAGCTGCTCCAACTGGTGCTGTAACCAGTCAAATTGCTCTCTGAGCCGCCTGGCGTGGGGGTCATCCATGTGCGCTGTGACTCTCGCCAAGATATCTCTTGCAGCCATTTCATGTTCCACCCTGCCCCACGCGGCCACAGATGCAGTGACTGCGCGCTGTGGTTTGTGCAGCACGCTGACCAAGAATTCACGCCTGACTTGCCAGCAAAGAAATCGCAAGACTGTGTTCCGGAACCAGGCCAGGGCTCTGATGCTGGCAGCCGTAAGCGAAAGAACGCGGTCGTCGACTGCATCCATGTCGGCCACTGCATCGCATCTGGGCCGTTGCCGCTCTGGGCTCTGCTCCCCGTCCATTGACTCCCCAAAATCCAGAAAACTGTCGGAGTCGTGAGTTTCTGAAGAACAGGACCCGTCGGAGCGAGGCATGCACTACCCATGTGAGAGCACTCGGAGGGATTGACACTTGGGCTCGGACCGAGACACTTACACATACATACATACATACATACATACATACATACATACATACATATACACACATACATACATACAAACGTACATACATACACACACACACACATATATGCATGCATGCATGCATACATACTTACAGACATACTGTTGATTTTTTCAATCCTGCATTACCTGAAGGACCCTAAGCTATGGCAACTATGTTATGTTCCTTATTACGAGTATTGCAGGATTTTTATCATCAACCGTATGTACAGACATACATACATATTTACACAAATAAGTCTGCATGTTTATGTACACATGCGTACATGCATACATATTTGCATGGGTACACTCACATATACATCTACACATGTGTGCTGGTTCTGGTGCTGGTGCTGATGCTGATGCCCATGCTGATAAACATTACACTTAATCTTGACCATAGTGGCGATGAAGCTTTTTCAAACAGTTCGCTGTCCAAACCGTTTCCCTCTCTCCGTCTCTCCCTCTCCCTAGCCTCTCTTTCGGTTCGCCCTCCCCCGGCCACAGGTGTACACTCGTGGTTTCGCGGCGTCGAGGCTGAAGTTTCGGAGATGTACTAATGACTGATGGCTATGTGCACAGGTTCATGCCTGTCCCTGTCTCTATCTCTCTCTCTCCCTCTAGACCAGAAACTCTCGACATCTACCCCAAAACGTCTGAAGCTCTTGTACATCAGTTTGCACTCTAGGTAGCAGCAAAGCGATCATTATCTACCGGTATCGGCCAGATAACTACGACTGATTGCCTACCTTGTATATCAGCTTGATACCACGTCGAGCATGGGCAGAAGACTCTGGTGACAACCAAACCTGAATCTGGACACGCAGCATCTTCTCCGGTTGTCCATGATTGCATAATTCCATGGTGCTTTTGGAGCTCTTCGGCCAACTGTCCAGCTGGGCAGACTTTCAGGGCCTGCTAAGGCTTCCGTACCTTGGAGGGAAGCCGTAACTTACCACGCAGGTTTTGACCTACATGAATCAGGAAAGTCTGCCCGGCAACCAAGTTGCTGGCAGCTGCGCTTGCTGCGAGCTGGTCGAACTGAGGTTTCTGCTTGTTTTGCAATGCTTCCCACTCCTCCTCGGGTGGAGGAGCTGGTTTGGTTAGGACCAGACGTGGAAACCACCCTTGCTGCTGCTGCTCATTCGACCAACCAAACAGCCACTCGTTCTCTTCGTGTTTGATGATCAGCGGCTCCCCCTTGCGAATGCACAAATAGCCAGCACCTTTGGAAAGCGCGCCTCGCTTGGCAATGATGGCTTCGCACGCATCCTGGGCCGGTTTCTCCGCAGATCCGCTTGGAAACGAATCCGGACACATTCTGATTTGCGCCGGGTTCTTAGATCAAGCCAATCACAGCCATCCAAAGTTTTGTGCAGCCGAGCATCCTCTGATTCAATTTTCAAGTTCTGGACGCTGAGCCACCCTTTGCACTGTGCCGTCGCACCAAAAACCCAGCCGTGCCTTGGCATGAACAGATTTTCTGATTTTCTGCGACTCATCTGATGCACATCGAGCTTCAGTCTACTTGACAAGCTGATGTTGCCGCAAAGGATCTCGTCTTGTCTGTCGTCGCTTCCGATATACAGAATCCGAACTTGATCTCCAGCCGAGACATTGAGATATCCCGGCTCGGCATCGAGGACCTCGCACATCTAGAAAAATGACCGCGCAGCTTCACAAAACTCATACTACGCATCGCGCATTTGACAACCCTCAGTTGACCTCTACTTGGAGCGATGGTGCACGCGCGTTCCTGAGAACACGGCGTCATGCTGCACCGTCAGGAGCTGGTCTACATGCAAGCCCATACCCGAATCTCGCTGTTACACATTGTCGCAGGCATGCGCTTGAAGATGCAACACCGGGTCATGTTTGCCACAGCTTGGCTCAACAGCTTCATGTTCCTGCCAGTCGGCTTGAGCCAAAAGCGTCCATCAGCCAATCAAGCAGCTGTCAGCCAATAGTACAACGAAAGAAGAACGTGCCACCTTGAAGCCACGCTGACTGAGACACATTGGAAGCACGTATGCACATTCAACCCGGCCTGATTGTTGACAACCTCAGCAGCTTCAAGGAAATCCAAGCGATACTTTGCCGACAAGAGCTACCACAACAGAGTCGTCAAGAAGGGAGGCTGTCAAACGACCACGAAACCGAGGCCGACACCAAAATGGCTTTTATCATGGCAAGGAAATGGCTTTCAATCTGTACGGAACAGAGGGTAGCTCGGCGGCATGTCATTCACACATCCCAACAAGCTCATGAAACACAACTATATGCATGCTGCATAGGTGGAAATACTTGCCGTATGTTGCAGGCTGAGCCCAAAAGCACACGGAAGTAAACTGGTGTGGTTAAGTTCATCCGATCAGATTTCGTCGGGTGGGATCGAGGTGTAGGGTTCCGATCCGTGAGAACATCATCACAGTCGAGGCGTTTGGCCCAGCTTTGGGCTTTTTTGTCTCAGAAGGCAGTGAGCTAAAGTGTTCATAGTGATCATGCGCCTACTGGCCACCGTCACGGTCACAAATGCAAACAGACGGCGCATGTTTGGTTACAATGTCCAATCACAGCTGTAAGCAAGCCAAAAAAGCTGTTGAAACTGTAGAAACTGGAAGCGGAAAAAGGGTGGTGACACTACAGCAGCACGGCAGACACGCAAATCCGAAGAAGTTCGTTCGATCACTGCCGTTTGCTCCGAACAGAGCAAGTTTCAAGCTGGTGCGATCAGTGACACCTCCTTACGAACCCAGACAAAAACCGGATAGCCGCTATCCAGCTTGACAAAACATCATCGGAAAAGTTTTGCACATACTACAAATGTGTCAAACTGAGTTTGGATTGGAACAATAGACGGCTCAAAAAAGGAATCGAAATGCAAAATGCTCTGATTCTCCACGTGCCTCAACAAAGTAAGAAGTTTGGTGGGCAAACTCTTCATGGGAAGCTTCTTCACAATACAATTCTTTGAAAGTTTCGACACCCACTTTACTCTTGCCGGGCATCGCTGAAGACGTCTCCTTTGCAGCCCGATCGAGCAACCGAACATGCAAATTCAAAGCATCTTTCCGAAGATGGAACGGAACACAAGATGCAATGGATGTTACACAGGCGACTAAACATATCTGTTTCCCCGGAAAACACGATGCATACAATTTTGGAAACGCGGTTGTCTGTCTGACTGTCTGCTTTCTGACTTTTTCTTGGAACGCATCAACGTGTATCTGCGATTACACGCAGGCCGACGTAGACTTTTGAAATTGATAGAAGCACGGCTTCGGCTGCAAAAATCTGCAAGACAATTCGCTCTGTCTGTCCAATTGTGAAAGCTAGAGACAGAAAACAGCAACAAGTACAACCTCCACACTCAAAACGCCTGGCTGCACTGCGGATTCTGCATAACAATCAGCAAGAACCAAGACTGCGCTTGTTTTGATCCTCAAAATGTTTTTCCGACGGCTCTCTTCTGGATGATCCAACTTCTACACATGGAATCCATTCAAAGCCCGGAGCTTTCCAAAACTTTTTTTTTTGGGAAGTGGAGTTCTCAGGTTTCTTCCGACCCCAAGCGGACGTGAAAAGAGAGAGCGGCGAAACGGGTTTATTTGGAAGTCGGGTTTTGTGCGGAAGGCAGGTGCCCCCGCTACGCGCTTTTCCACACGCAAAAGAAGAAAGCCAACGCTTTAAGAAAATAAATCTACACTTGAGGGCCTGTGCGTTGAAGCCATTTTCTCTTCACTTTTTCAACCCCAGTTTCGGGCTCACAAACCTGGACGGAAGATTGCTGAGGCTGCCAGTGGACACTGTCACAATTCTCACACTTGGCCATTTGGCCAGGAGGAAGTACAGTTGAGGGAATTTGTGTCCACACTACATGTGAAACCGCTTTCTGGCC